ACAAACACGTGCAAATTGGGATGGATATATGTGAAGTATTAGATGAGCTTAAGATCGAGAGTTTAGTGTTGTGTGATACCCATCTGTTTCTCCCTGTGTAATAGCTAACTTCCGGCAGTTTGGCAGCCACTCGGCGCAGTTTCAATTGTTTTTAGCCAAACAATGGACACCTCCTTGGAGTCCTGGCCCTGCACTTGCACCTGCACACTACCACCTGAGTCTGTATCTGTATCCGCATCTGTATCCGTATCTGTGTGCGCCTCTGCAGCTGTGTGGGTGTCTTCAGCGGAATCCTGCGAGACAATGGCCAATTGTACGGATGGGCCAGTGCTCGTAGTTGTAATTAATGCCTCGGGCGACTGGGATCTTGGATCTTTGACTAGTAGGCATTGTTTGGCCCAGAGAAACAATGGCGACAACAGCCAGATACTCGTGGCCCTGGCCTTAAACAAGAACAACAAGCAAATGCAATAGAAAGCAAAACAAAATAATACCAAACAAGGGCAACTGAAAACAGGCCAACAACTTAAGCAGGGGCTCCATCATCACAGGTCGTCATCCCAATTGGAAAACTGGTCGGGAACGGTGATGGAAACATCGAGAATGAAATGTTTTATTAAAGCCACCACCGCTGCCGAAAAACAGACTGCCTAAATCGGATTACATATGCATATGTCAGCTGAATCGCAAAGGGAAATGTTTGCGTATTGTTGGAATAGCTATACATACATGCACGAAAAGTATTTAATATCTGGTGAATTTGAAAAGCAATAGCCAATTTCCGTCCAATTTGGGCATTTTTAAGAATTTTGCATGCCACATGTTGAAATACTCGTGTGTTCCTTGATGTCATTTAAAGAAAATGGTCTTCAGCCCTGACTTATAAATTGGTTTGAACATAATAAATACATGAAATTGAATATCGATTTATTCCAACCACAATGGCCAACTTTTATTATCATTTAAAATGAATTATTTGGTGGTTAACCAAGCAATTCACTCGCATATGCATTGTGCCATCAAGGCAACTGCCTTCATATTTTATAGGGTATTTAGTTCAATTTGAATTTTAATTGAATGCAAGTGCTTCATTGTGCCACCTTTCTGGCCAATTTGCGGAAGGTATGCAGTTGACGGCAAGTGCAAAGGCAGAGAACTGGCAAAGCATTTTGCTATTTGCTTGGTTTTGGCAGCTCAATCGAATGAAATCGATAATTAGCCGAATGGATATCACGCATACGCCGCATTGGCCGCATTGGCCGCACAACTGTTGACCCAACTGCGGAACAAACTGTTTTGCCTTTCACACTTCTGCCTGCGTTGGCAGCAAATCAGAATTTAATTGGCATCTAATGCGCCACTCGCACACTGGCCACTGCAGCAAAATGGCCGACAATGCATATTTAATGGATCAGCATTATAATGACATTATTTGGATGCTAATTACAGCCAACCGAAATGGGCGAGGACCGCAGCAAAACAATTACGCTGAAAAACATTGAGCGGAAAACCTCAACCTCAAAATCTCAACGAAAACAGCAGGGCAATTTAATTTTCGGCAAAACTTGCTGCCACTTGAGGCCATTTAGCATTTCACTCACACTCCGTCGGGCATTTGGGCAATCAATAAATCTAATGAAAATTTCTCCGCCTCGGCCTGTCAACAAATCGAACTTGTCCTCGGTCGACACATGGCGAAAATCCTAAGTCGTGTCTTCAAAAAGTGTGAAGTGTGTTCTTAAGTGAAATCTTAACTGGGACAGAAAGTAATTTATTGATAAGCCAGTTGGGGCTGCCAGAATATGACCACCAAAAGCACTGCGAGGAATTATTGGACAATTTCAAAGACCAAAACGAATTTAATAGGTAATGCAGTCGATGCGGTAGCCTAAGTACAACAAATATAACAATTTGTTGGCAAGTGTAGCAAAAATGCGTTGACTAGATCTACGCCCAATTCGGCGCAGTGCATCGCCCATGTCCTTGCCCAAGTCCAAGTCCTGGCCCTCCGGCTTAGCGTGCAATTCAATTAAAGTTGCATAAGGCCATCGGACAATGGCTCCTCCGCGTTCTTTGGTCCTGGCCGGACTTTCGGCCAAGTGAAATGCTCACTTTGATTTGACCACCCTGCCTGCCCCATTGCCAATCCGCCGCCGTCCAGTTTTGTGACAGGAATGAATGAACAATGGCTTCGTTGTCCTTGGCAGCTTGAGGGCCATAACATTGGGATGAAAATTAACGATGTGGCGTGGGTGGGGTGGCTTTTTGGCCAGCGCTAAAAAGCCGAGCAGAGTGGCAAGCACACATATTAAATTACCAAGTGGCAAGTCAATTGGCATATGTCAGCGTGCCACACACAAAGCGAAGGCAGCCGCATGCAGCAGCAGCCGTACTCTGCCACAGTTGCCAAGTTAAATGAAGTCAAAAATGTAAATTTCATTTGCCAGTTCAAGATGGAAAGATGGAGCGATGGGGAGCTGGGGAGCTCAACGCGCAGAGATGCAAAATGGGAAACCGAAAGACGCAATTAGAGGCGGGGGTGTGCGTGGGCGTGGCAGTTGGCGTTGCCAAATTACAGTTACCAGCTGTTGCGCCGTTGCAAAGTCGTGGGACTTTGTCTGCGGCCACCGAGAAATCCCCAAAGAAAAAAACGCCACCTCAAACATTTTCCGCCAGCAACATGTGCCTCCATTTTCCAAGGCAAGTGCTTCACTTGAGGCGGAAATGTGCGGACTATAAGATACCCTGTGTTGTAGCTCAGAAAGTGCTTGGTTTAGTTAACACAGCGCTTTCCCACATCTGCACTAACGCTTTTAGCGAAATTTAACTTTGAAGTATAACAAAATGGGCTTACCCGTGCCCCAAAAATAGCGCGATAATGAATTTGTTGTTGCTGGTGGAAATCTGGGGAAACGCATTTGGCGGGGAGAACAGCAAGTAAATGACAAAAGACATAATTTCATAATTAAGTGCACAGGAAACGAGGAGATGGGAAAGGGCAGCAAAATCGACGGGGAGAAAAGAAGGAAAATTTCCTTTGTTTTGTGGGCCATTAGCAAGTGGACTAATGATCTAACGAAGCCGGCGAGCTTCTGCTTCTCCACTTCTGCTCGTAATTAATGACAAACGCAAGGGGGGCAGGGGGAGGGGGGCGGTAAAATGGCTGGGAAACTTTCCCGGCAAACACTGGGAAATGAGGCAATTTCCCAAAAACTCAGAACTTCGAGCCAAGCAATGGCGGCAAGTTCATTCCTCAGTCTGTCAAATAGAGATTCGTAATTGTCTAAGCGAGGGTATTAGCAGGGGGTATCAATTGTGCGAATGATATATGTTTTGGGTAAAAGCAATAGATCGGTGTGCTTCTGACATGGGCCTTCAAATTAGAGGCGTCCGCAAATGGGATTAATTTGCTAAGATTTTAAGTGAATGGTGATGTATTTCCATTTCAATAAAGCGCCATGCAATGGCAACCAGCTCAACCGAATGGAAAGTGATCAATTTGCATGTGTTCCTGATTGATGTACATATAATGCCAGTAAAAGAAAAACCCTACAAATCCGCCAAACATGTATTTTATTCGCAGTTCTATCAAGTTGTTGGGCGGGAAAACTGCTGTTGCTTTGGCATCAGCTTTTACATTGTTTTTTCGATTTTTTTGCTCTTATTTTTTAGTTTTTCAGCAAACACTGCATTTCGCGCAATTGGAAAATAGATACATGTGGGTGGCGAACAGGGGGGGAGGACTGATACGAGTGCGATATCGTGGCAGCTGCGTCATTTTGACATTTGGCAATAAGCAAATAAATAAATAAATCATTTGTATGCATAGCCAGCGATATTCATATAGCGCCAGATATGGCCAGGAATTGATATGGTCTATGGTCTATGGTCTATGGTAGTTGGTGGATGGTGGATGGTGGTGCCCCACTGAGTCGATGAACAGCACTTGAAAATGGTGGTGCTGGAGGAAATGGAACTTGACTGCGTTGACAGCAGACGGCGCCAAAGCGGCTCCCCCCGCAAATGGCACACATGGCGTATGCTTGATATGCCTCCTCAACGATTATGAATATGTTTTTTTTGGTTTTTTTCCAGCCAGGGTGGGGGTTTCGCCCACTAAACGTATTTCACACCGCGCACGGCACATTTATGACTTATACACGAGCTCACATATCTCCGTCAAAAACTATTTTTAGTCAGTGAACAAGGAAAAGCGTAAGAAAACATAGCGTGTAAAGTGTACGAGTATTTTTAAAAGCAATTTAAACGGTGCCTTCTTCGTTTCTTACCCTTCGCCGCCTCGGCTTCTTGGTGTATTTCCCGATTCAGTTTTCCACTTTTCCCATCCTCGTCGTCGCCTTTCAACTGTCCATCAAGATGTTTGACAAGTGCGCTGATTTGGCCGCCTCACCCCGACGAACATCCCGCCCAGAATTGTCTGTGTGAGTCATTATTTGGCCATGCTTGCAATTTCCGCTGCCCAACCATCGCAATCGCCATCGCCATCGCCATCTCCATCCCCCTGTTCCATTTCATTGCCGGCCAGCACCCGGAAGTTGTTAGTCGTGCCAGGGCCAGGGCCACGTTGTTTCGCCCAGCTCCGCTCCTACTCCTGGTACCACTACAGCCCTAATGAATAATGCAACAGTTTCTCTGGGGGAGGCGCTGAAGTGATGTAGCAGGTAACCCCGAAAAATGAGGTTGCAAAAGCTGCCAGCGAGGCAGGGGGAACTTTCACCAATAAAATATTCAAATCGAATACTCTGCCAGTTAGGAGAGTGCAAAAAGGTTTCGGGGAATACGAGTACGCTGAAAACTGCAGACGATGATCACCTGTCCACTGCGCTTCTGGCAGAGATTATCGTCATAAGCTTGACCCATCCACTTGCTCGTTTCTTGCAGCAGAAGCAATTTAGAAAATGTATTTCAAATTAGCGCCCTTCTACGGCTTACACAGCTTATTTTCAAGTAAAGGTGGAGTACAACTTACAAATACTTACATTTGTCAAGCTCAAGGAAAGAATTAGACCCTGCAAAGATAAAGCAAAAGTAGCATGTCAAATTGGCCGTCAAAGTAACTTGAGCTGAATTATAAACAATTTTAAAAAGTACGAGTATCTATATCTTTTTTCATTGCTGTTGTTGGATAATATTTGTGACCGTATTAGAGCGAATGTTTATCAAGTGTTAATCCAGTCCTTTCAGTGCGTAAGCCATTGGTAAACGTAACCAAGAACTAGGCAAACATTGCCAGTTTCGGGACAATTAATCAAACATTTTTTCATTGAATTTCGACGGGAGTCGAGCTGGCGGCGGATTGTTGAATGTTGAACCGAGCAATATCACATGACCGTGGCCCAGGTTATTCTGGCCTCTGATCAGGGATCCCGTCCCCGGGGCGTTAATGGGCCAACTGACAGACAGGCCAAATGATGGATGATATGACAGCGGTGCTGGGCTTTGGGGGTGGCCTGTGGTCCAAGTTATATCCGAGTGGGTTACGCGTGTTCGAGTGTGCGGCCAAAACAAGGCGAACTTGGGGCGCACAAGCCCCAGTACGTATGCTCATATATCTCAGCTGATGCCTCTCGCTTGTCATAAATCGCATTTGTGCATTTGCATTAGATGCAGCTCGTTGGTCGCAATGAGCAACAATGTCAAACTTACTGCCGCCATCGCCATCGCCATCTGCATGTAAATCTGGGCTGGGATGCTATGCAAATCCTGTTTTACAGCCACGAGACTGTGACGGTGAACTGTGACTACAACTATGAGTACGACTACGACTATATATAAATGCGCTCTATATGCATGTTTTGCTTAAGGCCGAGGTCTGGTCTATATCTGTACGGCTACGTGGACTGTATGGCACCATCTTTGGCTTTGGATTTCGCTTTTATGGCTTACGACGGACATAAAATATGAATGGATTAACACACACACTCGCACGCAGACAGCCAGAATGCAGCAGGGCGACAAATGTGTCACTTTTTAATCCTTCCATGTCCTTAAGGATTCCTTGTGAACGCTTTAAGTTTACATTTATTATTGAGCACGTGTAGTTGACTATCACAAAAGTCGAAGCTTTAAAGCAATAATATCGAAAATATTTCCGATTAAATGGCGTTTAAGCCTTAAAACATTATTTTTTGATCATTTTTGTTTACTACCCCTTGAAAAAATTATCAAAATTGATAAATTGGTGTACCAGCTAATAAGAGTTCGTTAGCTTTGATCATCAGCTCCAAAAAACAGTAGTTTTCTTGAGTTATTCCTTTTAACCGAAGTAATGACGAAAATATACTAGAAATATTACATATGTACATATGTATGTACCATAAATGTTAAGTATATATATATGTATATACTAGAAATGTTAAGTATATATACTTTAAACTAGAAATACAATGAATATACATATGTATATATACAAGTAATTCAATGAATAAGTATATACTACAAATATTAGGTATGCACAGTATATTTTACTATAAATCTTTAGTGTATATATTATTTATTAAGTATATATCAGAAAAGTTAAGTATATATCAGAAAAGTTAAGTATATACCAGAAATATTTAGTATAAATATACTAGAAATATGAAGTATATTTTCACCTTGCCTTGTTGCTTACGTGCCACTTGTGAGAAGCGCGGAGAAGGGCGCAAGTATTTTTATAGCCGAAATACATTCTGTAAGTACATCTTAGGTATATATATATACCATAAATGTTAAGTATATATATGTATATACTAGGAATGTTAAGTATATATACTTTTAGCTAGAAATACAATGAATATACATATGTATATATACAAGTAATTCAATAAATAAGTATATATTACAAATATTAAGTATGCACAGTATATTTTACTATAAATCTTTAGTATATATATTATTTATTAAGTATATACCAGAAAAGTTAAGCGTATACCAGAAATATTTAGTATAAATATACTAGAAATATGAAGTATATTTTCACCTTGCCTTGTTGCTTACGTGCCACTTGTGAGAAGCGAGGAGAAGGGCGCAAGTATTTTTATAGCCGAAATACTCCATTTGCCTATTTTAATTCCCTATTCCCCGATTGTATGAGTGTGTCATCTTAAGTTTGCAGGCCTTTGGGATAATATTCTGTCTCCCTGAAGTGTGTGTCTATCTTTCTATCTTTGTGTGTGTGTGTGAGTCTGCTGTGTGCATGTGTGTGTGAAGCTTGTCATTTATTTATTTTATGCCACATCGAGTCGTGTGACATCATTCGATTGACATAACGATGACGGCGCGAACTTATCAACTCGCTTTAAAGGTGAAGCGATGTCTATTGCCTGATGCTTTTCCTACAATTTTCTTATTTTCCACATTTCCTCCACTTGTCACCTTTGCTATCGCACTTTGTTTACGGACGGATTTACTCTTTTTCTAGTACGCTTTCTTTTAGGGTTTTATTCCTTCTTTTATTTTTGCGTTAACGCCTTGAGCAAACTGTAAACAAAACCGCAGTGAGTTTTCCAAACATGCACACAGTAAAAGTTCCATAAGATGAATTGTGTATCAAATATACACATATATAAAGAGATTTAATAATACTTTTGTGCAGAACTTTATACCTTCGGTTCATTTAAAGTCCATATTTGGCAACTGTAATTGGTCTGGCCCATTACCGGCCAAAGAAAATGGTTTCCAAAAAGGTAAAGTTCATCAAAAACGTGACTGTTTTAAAGTGAGCGTCGCAGCGCATAAATCAACAATATATGTTGAAGAACAAAACAAAAATGTGGGAAAAATCCAAAGCAAAAAAGAAATTTCCTACATTTTTTATTTGTTTTTTTGCTGTTTTTTTTTTTTGGTTGCGTTTTCTGTTTGATTTGCGGAAAACGTAAGACAGGACGGCGGAGGGGGGTCCAGAAAACGAGGGGGGAGGAGCAGGCGAGACAAGACCCAGTTTGCAAAGTAAACAAACGGCAAATGAAATGCCGCCGCCGACGTCCGTCGACTGAAACTATTAAAAATGAAATGGGCTGTGCGAGAGCAGCACCGCACCGCCCCCCCTGTGCAGAACCCCCCTCCCCGCACCACCAGTTGATGGAGGCAAAGAGACAGTGGGGCATGTGGCACAGTGGGCTCCACAGACGAAGCAGCCGCCGTGGGCCTTTTGCATCTATAATGCATATGGGCACGCAGAATGGGGAGCAGGGCCATGGGCGTGTTCCGAAGGAGGGGGCGGAGGGGTGGGGATCAGTGGGCACGGCTGTTTATCTATTTACTCACATGCATGTGTATGTATGTGTGTGTGTGTGTAAATACAGCAACAGTAAGCTCTGGTGATTTAAAATCACTTTTTAGGGTCCCCAAAGGTATGGTAATAATACATATTAGTCACTTTTTCCATTACCTAAATTGACTGCCACAATGTGAATTATGCAGATTTGAAACTTGAGAATTATTAAGCAGAATTTATGAAATTCCCATGTCGCCAACTTTTAGCAAAGTTAGGTAAAGCCACGACATTTAAAGTTCTCGCCACGAAAGCCTTTAATCTTTTGTGAAAGTTCTTCAACACATTTATATTTTTGTTTTCTTTTTTAAGTGGTCACCTCAACAAAAACTTATTTTTCAAGTGTACACATTCATCTGGTTTTTTTGGGTACGGTTCAGTGTGCTTCATATATAAGTTTCATATGCACGTTCATATCTCCCTGCAGATATGTTCATTTGCATACGATTTGCACATCGCCAGGTTTTTTGCGAGCGTTTCACCAAAACTTGAAGCATTATGATGACCCATATACAGCAGTATATGTATACGGACACCAGTGTGCAGTGGAGAAGTACGTTTCAAAACAGTAAATAATTGATATAAAGCGAATTATTTCATCAGCAATCCATAGCAACTGAACGCCATCCTGCTTACTGTCATTGCCCGCTTAAATAGCGAACTAAAACGATGATGTTCTGTGAAACAACACATTCATGAAACGCACTGTATCGCCGGTGTATATTATATGGGCACAGATAACTGCACATCACGCACTGCAATAACTTGGCTAAAAGAGCGCAATGAGCCCGGGTGTTTATGAAATATGCAAATGACCTGAAATCGTTGGCACTTTGTACCTGCCACGATTCCGCCCATTCTGCACATCAACGAATTGAAGACCTTTTGATTGCTCCAATCGATGGATCGATTGATTGGGAAAGGGCGTTCATATGGAGTCCCAAGTGCAAGGTTGAAACTCTGGCCATGATTGATGGCCGCAAATAGAAGTGGAAGCCCCTTCAAGTGGCGCAAAATGAGTGGGAATTTGTCTGGGAATCCATGTAAATGCCAGGTCATAAGTCAGCCAAGTCCTTGTGAATGGACCTTTCTCCTTGAGTGACCGGCAATTATCATTCTGGGGACATCTTTTAATTTGAGCCTCCTTCCTATGGAAAGTAACTTCCTACGCCCTACGCCCTACGCCCTACGCCTACTTTTTCTGCCCACTGGGTAAACAACATGGGATGAATGCTTTGTGTCCGTCGCTTGCCTAATTTGTTTTTCTTTCAAGTTTAATTTGAAACCTGAACAACAACGTCTTAGCCTTGGCTGCTCGGTCCTGGCCAACGCAAACGCAAACGCAGCGCAACAGTTTGCTTAGTGCAAAGAGCAAAAGCAAATTTTCCTTTCACTTTTCCAAGTGGGAGCAGGAAGTGGGCGGTGCGGAAGGTGAAAACTGCTGGCGCTGCGTGCTTGGAAAATGTGTTTATTTAGGATAACTTAACTGATTGTTGTTCCTGCTCTCGTGGCCATTCTTCTCGCCAACGCGCCAGCTCCTGTTGTTGTTCTTGGCCAGTTGACAATTGGCCCCAGAGAAAAGCGATAAGGGAAATTGTTGGGGGGCGGCGAAGAAAGTGGGCGGCCAGCAGGACAATGGACACTCGAAGGCGCGCCACGTGCACACAAAGCGCATTGTGGGAAAACCAGCAAGGCGAAGGCACAAACAGGAACAAGTTGGGAGTTTCGAGACTATCTGGATACCCGGTACTTAGG